AATATGAACATTATTTCATTTGTTTCATGATTAACATCTCTGTCTTGAACTATTATCATTTGTATTCGAGGTTGTCCTCCTCGATGCCTTTAGTGATTTATAGTACCTCGCCTGATAACGGCTCTTAGTTTTTGCTAGGCATGACTTAGATTTCTACTAGAAAATCCGAAAGAAGGGACTAAAGTTGAACTTTTTTCAATGGGAGGAGTTGAAATTTGAACCTGTGCTACGGAAACACCTTTACTGCAGCAAAGCAAAACTTTCTAAAAAGAGCACAAGTACAACCCTTTTCCCCTCTTTCTTTTATTTCGAAGATATATAATATACATCATACATCTAATTAGAATGACTATCTTCGACTGCTAGTACGATGATGAAAAGACTGAAACGAAGTTGTGAACTAGTGACCGTTCAAGTCTTAAACCAAACTGTCATGCAACGGATTTTCATCACTTGAAGTGGATTAGACTGAACAAGGACTGGAGCATTAACGTACATAGAAACGTTGACACACGAACAAACAATGGATTGAGAGTTTTTTTACAGGTGTGATATGTTGTGTGTCAATTCGACAGAACATGCTATGTACTGCATAGTAGATGATCAATAACGTTTACAACCCTAAGAAGTTGAGGTAACCGGTATAACTAATTGATGGAGCCATGTTCCTCACACGAGTTGCTTAGTCTATGTCCGTTTCAAATGGTCGTACTTTCGTCGAAGCCGAACTTTTATCGTTTTGCTGTACATATAAAAACAAGAGTGAGTTTGAAAGTAAGAAAATTGAAATATTCAGTTATTGAAATTCATATTTAGATATATGATAACTACGGCATTCTACATTTAATAATCCAAAATGTATTATTCAAGAAAGTCTACTTATATAATAGCATAAAAAATAATGTACATTTATATTGTACATATGTTATTTATATAAAATATATATTTACGATGATACAATCAAGATTATGATATCTCAAGCAATACAAAACATTGAATGTTTCACTTGAATACGCAAAATTACGTTTGCTAGTGGTACCGAAGCTCCATATCAGGCTTTCGTCTTGCCCACTAACACCTGTTATCTCAGAAGAGTTCTTCACCATCACTTCAGAGCATTCTGCCAAATGCTCACGAAAATTCAAAGAAAACTGTGCCGGGATGTCCAAGAGGTTAGGCCGGGAGTTGGACCAATTTCCAGAGTTCCTAACCATAGCTGCAGTAGAGGCCGAGTATTCCATGCTTCCCATTGGGATGTTATTGGTGCTATCCATAATTCTACCGATTTGATCTCATCCATACACCGGGCGTCTTCTATACTTTTGGCTAGATTACTCACGCCTTGCTTTGTACACATAACACCACCATGATCTATGAACCACGGTGCAATCCCTTAAAAAGGAGGGAAGGGAAGAAATAAAATCCTTGCACACTTCTGACATTGCCGGGAACTTTGTGGATCTTTCTCCAATACCGGAGGGGTGATGTTATTCTCAGAAGTCGAACCATGACTTTGTCCCGGGACAGTGAGTGGACGCTTCTGACAGAAGAGGCAGAGCCAAATATTAACGCAGACAAGGACAAGAAAAGTAAAGTGCTCTGTCATACTGTTCAGACAATGATCAGCTTCTTTCGCGGTAACCTTCTGACACAACTAAAAGGGCAAGGAGCCTTCTCGACTATCATCACCGAGTAGGATGGTGGCTTTGTGCTCACAAAATTCCAGAATCATTAAAGGACAGTGGATGGTGTGTAGGATGGCCTCCATAAAACAGTAGATCTAGTCTCTCCGTCTACAGATTAGACATTTAGCATGCAATCAATTCCTAGGCCAGAATCCGGAGGAACCCGAGGAACCCGAGGAAAAAACGACAAATTCCTTAGAAATTTGTTTTGTTTTACTTTGCATCGTTCACTTCTTTGTTCACTTCTTCTTCTTTGCCCGTAAAAAGTTTGCTGTGGACGAGTGCCAGGAAATAGTGGTTTTGGTGTATAATACTTGTTCTCTTTGTGGTTTGCATTTCCGGCTGCTTTTCGGTCCATGATTCATTTGCATACTTTGTCAAGGGATCCCGTGTGCGAAATTGATTATCAGAATTTTCTTCCTCGTCAGCGTCAGTTTATCACATCCAAGGAGACGAGGATAAAACACAGACGTGGTTCAATGATGTGGTTGTACCCTGTACGTCCGAGGAGATCTGATGAGGCCATCATATCTTGATGCTGCGATAGTCCAGAAAGAAACAGTAGACAAATCGGCAGTAAAACGAAGACGGCTTTTTTATATTTTTATCCTTGACTTACTGGGTACTCGACGCTTGCATTACAACTAATTGTGGCTTCCTGGTTACGGTTACACTAAGATTCACCATTATAATTTATCGAAAGAATTCTTGGAAAAGTCGGTGGTGTTTGTTTATCAGACCTTGTGCATCGAAGATGTGTTTATTTTTCTGTGTATATTTGAGCACGACGTGGTTACTGTGCCGTGTTGTACCCAACGTTGGAAGGTTGGAATAAACGTGTGTACTACAGTTAGGAAAAGAATTATATCTGCGCTTCCACTCAAGGAAGCATGATCGGTTACATACTATTTGGTTCTCGTATTATATTATTGTGGAATGTGTTCAAAATTTAGCTTTTTTCTATTTGAAAATGGGAACCTTTTTGATATTTTTCGAATGAGTTAAATACACGTTCTAACGTGTATATGAGAAATACTGAGAAAAAGTAGATATCGTGATTGGCTTCCAATGTTTGCAATAAATTAATAAACATAACTTACATATAAATAAACATAAATAAATGAATATTCGTGCTGAAAGTCACTAAGACGAAAACCAAACTGAAAAATCAAGTCATTTCAAACTAGTGGATAGACGATGCTTCTCGCTTTTGAGCATCTCCCTTACAAGTTGCTTTTATCTGCTACCCTACTACAAGAACTCTTCTACAAGATATCGCGTTAAATTTGCACTTCTCTCGCTGTTAACGCAAGATCGTTATAAAATCCGGTAAGGTAGAAAACTTGCAGGTTATTTCACAATTTCATTAAAAAAATTTCGTAAAAGTCTCATCGTTTGGGCTTGTTATATGCCCCATCTTATCACATGTCATGAGCTCTCATGATAAAGTGTATCAAAATGAACTTGTTGTTATTTTTTTTGGTATTGAGGGCCCGCATGGTGCTAATCTCTATTGCATATATGTGCAAGCGGCAGTAATGTGCTACCATTCTGTTCTGGGAATGCTCTAGCCCTCAATTCCGGTAAAAATTGGAGATCTGAAGTAGAGTAAAAACTTAGAGGAATGATTGGATTCGTGACAATGGGTTCCTCTTACAACTGCAGTCCACACTCTACATGAAGCTTTTTTTCATGTTGGGATCCTTGTAGAATTAACAACGTTCGAGCTAAGTCGTATGTTACCTGGAATACTGAGTTTACCATTATAAGCTCCTAGATGTTATCTAGGTGCTCGGGTTGATCTGCCCGGTCTTGCAGAAGACCGGGCAATAGTAGCACCAACGTTGGCTTGAGCATTCACCGAGTCGTCAATGGGCGTGGAAGATCATGGACTATATGACAAGATCCTCGCTTCACTACAGGTCAAGTAACGTGACATCTGCCTCTTTCCTTAGGATACACGGACCTATATGTACCTGTAGGAATAAACCTCGCAACATTGATTTCTGAGGCCAGATGAACAGATATGGGCCAGAAGAGGTCAGATGGGGACTGCCTTCTTTACCCAATCATACATACAAGATGAAGTGAGGCTTTTCACATCTTTCCTCCGTTGAGGAGTATTACATATTTTTGACGTTTTGTTTCTAAGCGGGAATAAGGCATCAGGGCGCATCGTTGCAACCAGAAGATAGCAAAGAAGATGTCGGATAAATACTAAAGTGCAGAAAATGTTTCTGAAAAAGGGAAGAAAATAAGTCTTAGCTACACCATAAGTCGAAGAATTGAAGGTGAGAGTTGTAGGATGATAAAGATGAACTAAATTGTCAGAGCCGCCAGACTTTGTGGTGGGTCTAATGCACCCACCTGCAAGAAAGTTCGGTGTGAAGCTCGGAGCTCGAAAGGGTGGATTGGTCTACAATCAGCTTCGGTACGTCCGAGCAGCTCCGCCGAGGCAAAAATGTGTATGCTAAGAATAGGCAAAGAGTTCATGCACTGCAGTCGCAGAAGTACAGTTCTCGTAACTCGGCTGACGAGAAGTGAAGGCACTTGAAATCTGAGCCCTGAAAGCGAGTCCCGATTTCCATCTTGTCGCAAACAAAGTTGGATCTCTGATCAGGGATCGAATTTTCGTCCCTTCTTTAGGCCCGTGCCACTGTGCTCACGAGGGTTTGGCACATCCACCTGTCGCGTTTCGGGCGAGGGCCCCAAGGCGTCCCCGTCCCCGTGCCTACGTGGCCATGGACCTCAGTACACCGGAACAAAGATCGCCGGCTTCCCACTCGACGTGGCAGGGCGGAACTGGAACTCGAAGCGAAAACCTAACCGCCTATCAAACCGTCACGGGGACGTACTGGTGGCGATCCGGAACCCAACCGGTGGCCGGTTAACGTAACCATCGACAGGAGGTGCTGCGGCGGGCCTCGTGGTTTGGCGTAAGCTCCCAAGCAACTCACGCTTTACCCACCACCTCGGACCGGTCCTCCAGACCTGCGCATGCGCGCCCGCTCCGGTGCGCGTTGCGCTGATCGGAGTGAGAGCGAGCCTCGCTTTTTCCCTGGGGACGGACATCCGGGTCCGTCCGATCCCGGGCGCCGAGTCGCGGGAGATGGGCACGGCGAGCGCCGCTCGTCGGATCGGAATCCAAAGCGCTGTCGTCGATCGGAGTGACGCGTCACGCCTTGTCCAGAGGCCGGTCGGGGAACCGAGGCGGGGGTGGAAGTGGGTCGGAGCCCGGGGGGAACAGTGGACGGGGACTGGGAGCCGGGGCGTTCGTGGTCGTGATGGTGCTCGTCCTCGCAGGGTACATGCGCGATGGCACAGGCAGGTGAGAGGGGAGGAGTTGCGGAGCAAATTGGGCGAGAGTGGGGCACCACGGGTCCGAGTGAGGAATCGCAGAGGCTAAATTACAAGGGCGTGGGCGTAGGCAGGTCAGCGATACATTTCACAACCTTTACATGAATTGAATTCGGGCGTGAGAGAGAGTGATTGTGGTAGCGAGAGCGAGATAGCGAGATTGCGAGGGGAGAGGGGAGGAGACGAAGCTCGTGGAGAAGACGGACGGAGGGGGGTGAGCGAAACAACGAGGCGGGCGAGGACAGGGAAGATTTTGTGTCACAGAGCGGAGGAGGTCGGGAAAGAGTCCAATCGAGGTCTTAGCGGGGAGATTGGTGAGCGCCCACCTGTTCTGAGAGGAACCAGGAGGAGGCGGACACGTTTTGCTGGAGGGATACGCGAGGGGGATCTGAACGAAGACTGGTTCTTCTCCTTCTTCATCTTCATCTTTTTCTTCTTCTTCTTCTTCTTCTACGATCCTGGGAATGCGAAGCATACGACGCGCGGGGGCAGACAGGCTTCTTCACCGAACGTGAGTCGGGGTGGTGTGCTGGCGACGAACAGCGAGCGAGAGCTAGATTGCAAGAGAGTGGACCTGGAACTGGAACTGGGAACGGGACCGGGACCGGGCCAGATTTGAGAGCGAGCGGGTTCTTGAGGGAAGTGGGGGTAATTTGACTTGGGCAGCGAAGCAGGAGAACTGGACTGGTCTTGCGCTCGTGGGCGAGATAATATACTTAATTAAGCCAAGCTTTGAGAGCCGTGGGGGCGAGGGGGCGCCACAGCAAAGTCTTTGGGACTGGGCCTTGGTGAAAGAGGAAGGATCCGGCGCAGCTTGAACCTCGCGGAGTCGGTGTTGGTTTTCCTCACTGCCTGTTGGTGTGCCCTCTCGGTCTCTTCACAGAAGCTCAATCGGAGCGAGAGCCGGCGAGTTCCGGTGTTATAGGAATTGCAGTGCAGAAGTTTTCATTTTTTTCCTTAAGCTAACAACATTTAAGATATAGATATAGAGGCGGTGCTAATTAGCTCCGGAGTAGCTGCAAATGCAGCCAGGGGTGGGCGTTGGGTTCCAGTGATCGAGAGAGAGAGAGAGAGAGAGCTGCCGAGCTGCAGATCCCGTCGAGTGCACGCAGATTGCCAATCCGACAGACGACGACTACTCGGCACTGAGAAGTGAGGTGCGCCGACAAGCGATGAAGAAAGAGCAAGGTACCACCCTTACATGGGAGGATGAACAGGTTGCGCAAGAGGATTGAGGGCTGGGAATGCTGAGTGGTATCGCAGTAGCCACAAAGCTTTACACCGAAACGTTTGCGTGAAGTTTGTAGAGGTCGCGTCGTCCGGCTTTGTGAATTCAAACATAGAGGCATTGCCTCCGAAAGGAAAAATTGTGGAAGGTCCCGATAAGCAGGGAAGGATGTACGCGGCACTGAACACCCGAGATGTGGAGAAAGCTTGGGGATTCGAAAGCAAGATCATGCGAGGTCCTCCAGACTGGTCGAGGAGGGATTACAAAGTGAAAGTCATCGACTTGTACTTGTTTCCTTTGGAAATTTCCGTCGATGAAGCCGTCATATTCAACCTCGTGAAGGACAGGGTGAGGGAGCAGACTCGCGTCTGGTGGAACATGGAGGCCAGTAAAGGGGCGGGATGGTACCTGCAGTCTGACATATCCTCCATCTCCGACCAATTTGTGCCTGCATCCTTATCTATCTCCACTCTGACCAGCACTCTTCAGCTGAAGAAGCTCATCAGAAAGGGGATTCCTCCCACCCTTCGGCCTAAGGTTTGGCAAGCCGTCTCAGGTGCTTCTCGTAAGAGATCGAATGTGCCTGAAAGTTATTACGAGGACCTTTGTCAAGCTGTCATCGGAGCACAAACTGCGTCCACGCGCCAAATCGATCATGTACGTTCCTCTCAACTGGGTATTTGACAGTGTGCTCGGTTACCTGCTGTGAGCACCTTTTCTGGTACCTTGGTCCTCCTGGATGCACCATCCATCTGCGGAGGAAAGATCACGTGATCTTAGATCCATTCCGGCAAAGTCAATGACTCTCGACATCAGTAGCATTGCGTCGCCCATCCAAATGTCGTCCCCCCCCCCCCCCCCCCCGATTAGCATGTAGCGCATGTAGATGGCACATCGCCTTGTGAGTTTATTGAGGCGCATCAAAATCGCCTCTGGTTCCTCCATCCCATCTTGCATGATCTCATATCACATTCCGATGTAGGGAGAAGATCGACGCTTTGTTGTAGAACTTGGGCCGGCGGGTGCTTTTGATCGCCGAAATAGAGAAATTCGCTCCAGGTGCTCGGTGCCCCTCGGTCCGCATGTGGGCTCTCATTTTGACCTGTACTTTTAGAGGTGCGAACCTCCTGGTTTCTGAGATCAAGATTGAGTAGTTTCAGCCAAGATCGGTTCTGACTGGTTGTGGGATTGGATATCGATTGCAGGATTTGGCGAGGACTTTTCCATCGCATCCTTGGGTGGATTCTCCAGAAGGACAGGCTACGCTTCGCCGAGTTTTGGTTGCCTACTCATTTCGCGATTCGAGTGTAGGCTACTGTCAGGTATGCTTTCTAAATTGAGAGGGTCGATGTCTACTGTGGCGATTGGTGTGCGTTCAGTGTCTTTCTGTAAGCGGGGTTTCATCAGTGGGCACTGACGGTGACTTCCTGGGATTTCGCAGGGAATGAATTACGTGGCAGCATTGCTTTTGCTCGTAATGAAAACCGAGGAGGACGCATTTTGGATGCTCGCTGTTCTCCTAGAGAATGTTTTGTTCAGCGAAAGCTTTGCTGAAGATCTACGGGGCTGCCACCTTGCCCAACGTGTCTTCAAAGACTTACTGAAGAAGAAGTTTCCAAGGTGCGATCATTTCTGGGATTGAACTCTCTCACTGGCGAGTTTTTTCTTTGCACGCAGTTCCAGATGACCAGTTCCAGTCTCACCCACCTTCTCGTTTGACTGCTGCAGGTTGGCGCAACATTTGGATCAAATTGGATTCGATTCCACGCTTGTCACTACGGAGTGGTTTCTTTGTTTGTTCGCTAAGAGTTTCCCATCGGAAGTGAGTTCCGAATCCAGCATTCGCCCGTGCCAATTTTTCTCAGGATCTTCGCAACCTGGACATGTCAACGTCCGTAACAAATGTACCTCCTAACTGAGTCTCTTGGCTTCATTGCAGACTACCATGAGGGTTTGGGATGTGCTCTTCAACGAAGGTGTGAAGGTTCTCTTCAGAGTTGCGTTAGCCACTTTTAAGGTACATCTCCGCCCAGACCAGATGTCCTTGACGTGGTCGAAGCGTTGGGTTGGCTGGAGTGAACGGGAGCTCAAATGTAACATACTATTTGTGGCGAAGTCAATTTCTGAGCATTGCGTCTGATTGTGTTATCGCAGCTGAACGAGGAGGCACTGTTAGCGGCTAAGCACGCAGGGCAAGCCATAAAAATTTTGCAAGACTCTATGTCTCATCTCTATGACCCGGATGTCCTTCTGAAGGTAAATTCCTCCGTGCCTTGGCATCTTGTGAAGCGTTCCATGAGGAGACTTTGTTGTGGTGCGGCATCCGCTTACCCGTGAGGTACATGCATGCGACTAATTCGGTCTTTGTGGGTACAGATAGCATTCGACAAGGTAGGACAGCTGTCAGTCAACACCATCAACAAACAGAGCAAGAAGGAGCAACCGCAATTGATGGCTGACCTGCAGCGCAGATTGCAGAGACTGAGCTCTCCAGATTCCCCGACTCCCTGCCCATCCACTGGCAGTCCGTAGGAACAGGGTTATGAGAAACATACCCTTTGTATAGTACAAACTTATCAGTCCCAATGTCCCCGGCTTCAAGGCCATTTGGATGGTGTAAGAAAAAGCTATCAGTCCATTTTTTGGCTCACAACGAGTTCACTGACAATACGGTGAGCTTTCTGTGATCCACCGTCTTCAGCATAGACGGTGATCCTCTCTGAGGTGTGTATATTCCTGAAAAAAGTTCGGTAAGATAGATAGTGTTGTAAGTTAACGTTAGCCATCAGCCTGGCCAGAGGATGGATGATATTGTTCAATGATGTATAGGTCCTGGAAGGTCTGAAGAGAAAACAGTTTTGGTACGCATGATATTTCCGACGATATCGTGTCTACTCTGAGGAAAAGAACAAAATTCAATAAAATGTCCAATTCAAATGATAATCATCGCTGGATATCTGGAATTTTTCCCCAGACTAGAACTGCTCTCGCCAATTTCCGGCCTTCATGGATTGCCCTTTGGCAGAACAGGTTTAAACACACCAGAACGGGAACGGTGTTCAATATTAAGATAGTGAGATGTTGTAGTTTTGCCTACCAGTTTGACGTACAGTTGCCAAGCGTTTTTGGTGTGAGAGAATACACAATGTCAATCTCTGCCGACCGCAGACTCAACCTCAGCAGCAGTGAATAAACAAACACATTTCTTTTGCGTCTTGGGTGGATTGTTGACTGTGCCGTATGGGCACTGCGCCTCTTTACACTTTCCTCTTTGTCCTTTTATGGATGTGTGTCTTGCCGAGTCACTCTCTAGCGTCAGTCACCCAATATTCCCCTGCTTTTGGCTCGAACTTACCGTGTCCACTTCGAAAGTGCAAATTTGCATATCCAGCCATCGCTTGTGATTGGAATATTTGCCTTTACCTGTCGTGATGCAGGGGACGGGTTTGTTTTCCATGTTCGATCTTCATGGACATAAGCGCTGCCGACGGTTCTTGCAGAGTCCTCACGACGGACATTGAATTCACTCCCTTGCTCGTCATCGCTCTATGTCGAGGTACACCGGGCTCGAAGATTGTCAGGCCAGGAAATCCTGCCTCGGCTTTGCTTGGGCCTCGACAGCGTCAGTGGATATGGATAGCAGGAATTCAACTAACTGACCCTGCGTACGGAGGGCTCCGAAGACTCATATCGACTTACCTCGAAGCTGGTGTGTCTGCCGACGTCGCTTTAGCGTCTGGGAAAGCACGAAATTGAATCGTCGCAAGCTACGCCAGGAAAGTATTTTTCGTGAACTAAATGAACACTTTTGCACAATCACTGGGTTCCAATCAGTCGAAGGACCCGGTTGTCGAGATTCTTCAAAACGCGTATCCCCTTCTACAGTCAATGGCCTGAAACTCGGCGGCGACGACGAACTCAGCGGAGGCTTGGTAGTAGTAGTAGTAAGAGTTGGTCGTAAGGGATCGTAAGGACTTTCGTCGCTATTAAGGGCTCTCTATATGATGCCAGGGCAGTAGGTAGAGAGCCATCGCGAGTCGAGACTCGCGATGGTAGACGGGAGTCAATAGTTTGACAGTGGAGAACCAATCCCTGTTCCTTGGTGAGGCCACGATGGAGAATAAGTCTACCCTGACAGACAAAACCCCCCCTACGACTCGCTGAGATCACGAATGTTGAGTATGGGCCCCAGTCCTTCACAGGGACGGGGCCACACCTTTCCGTCTTCTCCGGGTTGTTCGTAGGAATCAAATGAGGGAACGAATTTGAAGGAGCTTGAACCTTTGTCTGATCCGAGTGGCACGAATAATGGAAGGCTCAGCTCTCAATCTGGCGGGCTTTGCTTCATCAGAAGAGAGTTCCTCCAAACTCAGCTGTGAGCTCTCGGAATCTCGGCAAGTGAATTGGACCACGTGCAGATACTAATAGGTGTTCACCTTCACTTATAGCGAATCTGGAATCGCCGCCCAGATTACTCCAAGCTCAACGAAGGTTCGACCACATGTCCTGCCTCTTAATTTAGAGTGAAGTTCTTACGCTGATCTCTAGTACGCGAGGGCACTATGTCTCGAAGACAGGGCTCACATCACACGTGCTGGTCGTCAGCACCGAGCGTCATTATGTTCCAGAGCTGCCGGGATTGCCATCCTGGTGGGGGAGCCAGCACAGAGCTGCAAGGCATGCGACTTGCGCTGTCCAGTGCCAATGTAGTCACATTGTGGTCGCAGCAGCCTCTAACCTCATGTGCCTTGCAGGGGAAGAAACTGCACGCCTCGAGAAACAGAGGAGTGGATCTACGGTGGAACCTTGGAGTACGGACCCGATGGCTGTCTTCATGAGGTCCGATCATATCAGCATCATTCATTCGCTTCCTCTATGTCTTCCTGTCTGCCTACTTCTGGCAGTGATCGAGATGTTTTCGTGTGAGCCATCAATTTCATTTACTTGATCTCGTCAATTGTTTCACATGTTGGGGCCTGAGAGTGACTTCCCAAGCGCTTCGCTGGAAGGATTTTTGGTCTTTGAGGCAATGTGGGAGATTGTGATCTGTCGTAAACACGATACACGGTCTGAATGCTCTTGTGCCATCAAGCTTGTATCAAACAATCAAGATTCTCACAGGTTCCATACATAGCTGGCTGTGCCGGTTGTGCTGGATCCTGGGTCGACGACCGTGTTCGAGGCCACGGGAAATGGGAAATGGCGGTCGTGAGCACAACTTCAGAGGACACAGAGTTAGATTCAACTTGTAGGCCCTACCTGATACTGTAATCGATAGCGCACTGTATGTAGCAGTTTGTCGATCTTTCTAACCTCGCCTCTCTTCTGATCGACCGCCCTTTCCATGAGATCTGACTCTTCGATTGATTCAAGGCAGACAAGAGCTTGCATCTCAAATGACTATTCAATCGTCAAAACATCCAACTTCTTTTCAATTAAAAGAAGTTGGATTGAGTTGTATAGAAGTTGAATAAGGTCGTTGAAAAGTTTTCAACGACCTCAAATTAACCTTGTTTGTGTTTTGTTAAACAATCTTTGAGAAACAGAGATCGTGTAACATTTGGAAAGAGAAGGTGAGGAACAGAGATTGTTCCTTATACTCTCTCTATGTCCGGTGCACATTCGACTTATTTTCGGCATCCAAGCTTCTGAACCTGCTACAAATTTTTTAACATCTCGAGGGATGCAAATAAAACAAACAGTCGATGAATTGCTTTCGTCTTTACCAACCTATGACCAATTTTTGGTTATAAAGGACGTCCTGTTAGCAGGGCAATGTAGATTAGGCACATTCCTAAATTGATTATCTCAAGTAAAGTAAACACAAACCCCAATGATTAGTCATTACCCCAAAAAAAGCTAAAAACTCTAACATTGGAAAATTATACTCCTATCTTAGAGTTTGTTTTATCTTGCTCAAATGTTGATTCTGTTTGCATTGGTGAAATCATTATAGAGAAAATCAATTAATGATATGTTTAATACCTCTCTCGACTGTACGTCTCTCCGTTGTATTATTTCGAAACCAGACCGTCAACAAAGTCCACCAGAAGATAGAAAAGTCTCGGCCAAAAGACCAGTTACCATGAAACGAAACGAAAACCGGTGATTGCAACAATCAATCATTCTTGTACCTGGTGCAAAGCTCTACAAATTAGGTCCGTTTGTACTAATATTGTCCACATCGAGGTGAGACCAGTTGAGGCGAGACTTCTGTTGGATGATAAGACAATTGACCATCTTTAAACTTCACTAGTTTTAGAGTCTAACTTGGTTGATAATCTAGATCTCTGCCAGAATTGCGTTCATCTCGCATTAAGACGCAATCTACGAAACTTTACAAAGAATTGATAACCGAGTTGGTCTGATGAGACTCTCAATCATCATCAAAGCAAAATGATAGGATGTCCAATTAAGTCTATGAAATCAATGTAGGAAATAGACCAATAGTTGCTGATGACATGAGTGAACCTCTCCAAATTATCAACGTTGGAGTTGGGAGAGTCACCAATGATGAGCATTAAGTCAGTGATCATAATGTTTTTCAGTTGTTGGCTGAGGTTCGAGCCATGATATTAGAATCTCATCACTGTCATGTGAATGGTACTCGTGATATACTTAAATCAAACCTTCATTGTTAGGTTGAGATGCACGGTAAGAAGAGTCTACTATGATACTGATGATGCTTCACGTTTAAAATTCATCAATCGTCACCTCTAGGTTGAGACGCACAAATGGAAGAGACTATTGGAATTTTGGAGTTTTGATCATTAATATCTAGCAATGATCACTGAGCTAGTTGATGACACTAAACTTGATGTGCCATCAAATTGCAGATCTTTTGGAGTAAGTTGATTTCATCTTGAAGATAAGTGTCTGCTATTGGCGCGAATACGAGATCATGGATACAAGTGTCGCATATCATGCACACCATCGAGCTTTGTATATACCTCATGTAGTGGAAATGTCAAATTGATGAAACATATACCCCACAAAAATGAATCCTTCAAGTTAACATTGTTACATCCACGTGATGACATCAACAACATGATCCATCAGACTATGCACTGATGAATAGATCGTTCCAATTAGGGAAGTATTACTAGCATCATTAGACTTTAGAGTGATCAATTGGTTATCCAATTGGAGAAGAGTTACAAGAGTAATTTGCAAAGGATTTTGAACTATGTCAAATTAGTATGAGACTTGTAAAAATGAATTGAAACTAGAAATTGTAGAGCTATCGACGCCAAACTGAAAGAAAGAAAAAATGGATGTATGAAATATCAATGCAATTGCAAGCATCTAGCTAAAATTCATTAGTAACGAGATTTAGTTGGCAAAAGTTTGTTATTGAAAGATATATAACACTTGATAGCTGCAAAAGTTCGTCTAGGCTTTTCTAGTTTAGATTCAACATCTTTAGAATGAGATATTCTAAAACTAAACTATAAATTTATTAGTATATTAATAATCATGAAACTAACTAATTTATCTATATTCAATTAGGTGAAAATATCTATAAAATAATTTATTCATGAACATTTTATAGCTTCAAGATAATGAAATTTGTAAAAAATTATTTTAAAAATCATTGAATTTTATACTTGTTAAAATCATGTATCTAAATATTTAATTCCAAAATAATAATATGTATTATGTTTAAAAAAGAGATAGGCTAGTTATACTCACTTTGGGCTAGTCTTCCATCACTCTAGTATACGGTTGGCCAGGATTGATCAAAGATCATAGTTGTTATAGATTATGACTGCCCCACCTTCTTGTTCCCTTCTGTGTCAACATAGCATTCATGTTACTCTCTGCGTCAAACATGGCAAACGTGAACCACGTCAAAGTCACGCCTCCCTCAGTAGCATTTGATGCGACTCGTCATGACTATGCCATGGTCTACACTCTTATAATTTCCAAAAGTACAAGTACCTTTGAAAGTTGGAAGTAGTGTTGTACTTTTTATTCTAGAAGTTGGTGGCCGCATTTTAAAATGTATTTTATAATTTTTTAGAATATTTTTATTTTTATTTATTCAAAATCAGCTGAAAATGTTCCCCTCATCGAATATAATCTCTTTGAACTCCTCGCCGCCCAAATACTAGTCTAGATTGGTGCATAGATCGTTCACGAGCCGGATTTCATCTATGTCAGCTTGCTCACCATTGAGATTATCTTCTTCTTTC